TTTTCTTGGCAAGATTTGTTCAGAGGAGGTTTGCCATGGCTTTTCCCTGAGGCTGAGAGTATGTGACCTGTCCAGGGTCACCCTTCGGGTTTCATGGCCAAGCTGGGAATCAAATCCTCGTCTCCAGAGTTGTTGTCCAACACTCAAACCACTACACCATACTGGCTCTCTAATTTCTTTTCTGGTACTGCAACCAAATTCCTAGGCTTAGAATTTTTAAATTGTAATTGTAAGTTCTTACACCAAACCAAAATGGTAGCTTGAAATCTGCCCACATCCAGTTTATTCAATAGCTAATAATAATAATAATAATAATAATAATAATATCCCGCCCTTTTCCCAAAACTGGGACTCAGAGTGCTTTACACGATTAAAACAGTACAATTAAAAACAAGTGTTATATTAAAACAGAATTAAATTATTACAATATTAAAACAGATTGCAATAAAAGAATATTAGCTTGCCACTCCAGTGATAACCTGCGATTATCCAGCATGGGGATTCAAAATGTAATATTACCTCTGCTATGAATTTGCCAAGTTCCACACCAAACACATATTACTCACAGAGTTTCATCGCTGTACATTTTAGTGACTTCTAGAGAGCAACCCTCCCTCCACACAAACAAAATCCCATCTCTTTAAAAGAGCATAAAGACAAATCGGTACCTGTTCTGATCTGCCACAGGCGCAAACCCACAGAAATCAAGAAACCAGAGAAAAGCAAGCAAGTGGCTAGGTATATTAAATCAGACAGAATGGTATTTTATAACTCAAAAGGCCTACCTTTGCTTTTTGAGGCCTACCTTATCTTGGAGAGAGAGCCAGCGTGAGGTAGTGGTTTGAGTCTTGTGGACTAGGACTCTGGAGTCCAGGATTCGAATCCTAGCCATGGGAACCCAATGGGTGACCTTGGACAAGTCACGCACTCTCAGCCTCAGAAGATGGCCATGGCAAACTGTTGTCTTGATGTGAATTACTGTTGTCTTGATGTGAATTTATTTTATGTTGCTTTAATTAAGATGTTTTAACAGATAACTGGTTTAATACTTTTTTAAGGGGTGGGTGGGTTTGGGGTTGTTGGACTGTATATATTGTATGGAATTTTAATCGCTGTTAGCCGCCCTGATTGTTGTCAGAGGGGCGGGGTATTATTATTATTATTATTA